TCAATTAGAGACTCTCTTATGTCATTAGGAACTACATTTGTAAAGGCATCTCCAAAGAAAAACAACATTGAGTGAAACTCTAATTTCCAAAATTCACATTTTTCTTGAAAACAACTCATATTTGGGTTTAAAAACATCCCCTAACCCTTCCCTAAACTTATCTCAAAGAAAACTTAAGTTTTCTCAAAACCTTAATTTCTTCCCTTCAAGAAAACTCAAAGAAAAGGAGAGGGAACTACTCAAGCAAACAACTTATCTTAGTCTTCCCTTAGTTTTCCCTACAAGTTCCTCCATGAACGGCTGCCGGAAACTGTCGCCCGAAGCCTCTCGTCGCCGCTCCTACCAGACACCTCATGCCCTTCGTCCTCTCGGTTTGGCCTAGCGTGCGTGACATGAGAGGGAGGAGGGTTTGGTTCTTCTCATAATAGGAATGGATGATTTCCTAATGACCCTTATGCCCTTGCTTAAACAAATTCGGCTTTATGAACAAATAAGGGTAGTTTGGGCATTTCTAATCTTCCGAATTTTATAATTCCCAAAATACACATAATTTAATATAGGTTATATATATCAAAACGATCATAATTTTATGTAAGATTTTATAAAATTTATTGCTTCGAATTCCGACGACTTTGATAAATTCACTTAAAACTCGTTGCGACGCATTGAAAAACGTGCGGGGTCTAAATTGGCATTTTGCAGGTTTTACAATGGGTTGTTTTGTCCAAGGGTACCTTGTAGACCTGGGATGAGTATTTGCCTAAGGGGATAAATTTGAATCCACCTTAGCTAACAGAGGGCTTTGTGCCCTATCAATCATATCCTATTGATTAATATCTCAAAGATTTGATGCCACTAAGGAGCGTATTGGCTCTGATCATAACCGGTATTTCATGGTGCCATTTAGCGGCAAAATCATTCGGTTCAGAGAGCCCCAGGTCATAACCGTTTATCCTGTGGTGCCATTTGGCAGCAAAACTGTCGATTAGATGACACGTACCACATCCTTAATGGCAGGAGATTGTTTGAGAATGGATACTAATGAAATTTTTTTAGGCATTAGCTCTATGTGAGCTAAAGTAAATTTTGATTTATCTACCCGACAAAATGTTACGGAGGGTAGATAAATATTTGCTTTCAGTGTTTAATGGTTTGATTTTCAATTTTAAACATCTTGGATTTTGAGATTTTTGGAATCTTTGAAACTTTAATTTCGTAGGAATCTGGGTGGCATTGGAAAATGTTTGAATAACCCCTCCGGTTGAGATTTACATTCAACACGCCCATCATCGGGGGGTTTTGAGCTCATTTCCATTTAAAAATATTTTAATTTTTGTTGATAAACCTTGTCTACTCTGTTGAGCTGTCAACAGATGATCGGGTTTCTCAGGCATCATACATTTGTTTGTGAATTTTCTTTGTTAAAGGCCTTTAAATGTATAAAATAAATATTCTGGTCAACTTCATGACCGCATATTTATTCAATGGTTCGAACCCTGTCTACTCTTATTTATCTGTTTAGGAGGATCAGGTTTCGTAGGCTTTATGCCTTTGTTTGTGAATTTTTTTTATTATAAACCTTGAAGGCCTAATATGAATGTATTAAAACAAATACGCCAGTCGCCACAACCGTGTATTTGTTTGAAGGTTCAAACCCTGTCGACTCCTATTAATCTGCATTAAAGGATCGGGTTCGAACTTGAATTCACTTATCGACCCGCGTAGCATCCCTAGACATCACGTGTGTACCAAAAATATGCTAGCCGGAGCGCATGCGGGTCGAGATTGTATTTTTCCCTTTAGTGTACCTATGTGTATACAAATTATGGTGCACGTGCAGGGGTATTTTGAAATATTTTAGTAGTGCAGGTAATTGCCATTTGAATGCACTCAACATTTCATTTGAGGGTTTATATACGCCTTCTATCCGCTAATACGTGTTGCGGATCCGATAGCGGTATTATCTATATATCATAAAGAATCTCATCATCTTGATGCTGACTCCCCTTTTTTCATTCACCGGGAAGGTCTTTTTAGACTTTTCGTGACTGCTGTTCTGAAAAGAACTCTTTTCAGGGTCTTTAGCGTTGTAGACTTGTTACTTCCGATGTTTGTGGACACCATAACGGTTTTCTTCTTAAGTATAGGACTACGAATAAACTTTGGAACACCAGAAAGTTTAGTTCTAATTTGTTTAAACATCCCTTTCCTTATGCCAGGGGGTGTCCCTTTTTGTACATCGAGTTATCTACCCGACATATTTTGCAGCATTTCAATCACTGCTGTCGTAGGTGATATATGTACTTGTGTCCACAAGGGTTCGTTGTATCTACTACGACCTCCTAGAAGTGTTCGTGGAAGAGCCATTATCGCCTTCATCATATCCACCTTTTACCAATCTCAGGTGGGTATTGGAAATTATATTTGTTTGTAAGGACGGATCTCCCACTATCAAGTGTCAGTGTTGTCATCTCAATCTACAGGAAATTGTAGGTATTGTCATAGGAGTCTATTACACCATGCTTATACATGTTTGTGATGTATTGCAAATCTTTCACATTTTGCCCACAAACATGTGCCGAATACATAGCAGGCCTCCTACAAAGGATCGTAGATATTCGCACTTAATGTGCCAATCAATCACCTTCTGCTTGCATGGGATCTATGTGTTCATCTTTGATCGGATGATTGCTGATGCTAGCGAGCATTTGCATTCGTTGTATGCTTCACTAAATACATCCGTAAAAGGTGTCATGGTTTGATTGGTACCAAATGCGAGGGGGCAATGATGCTCAAATCAGACTCAAGTCTGAGTCCTTTCAAGTTCAGTTCAAATCAAGTTCATACACACAATATGCAAGCTGAGTTCTATGTCCCCCATAGTCCAACTCAAGTACTCGTTTGAGTTCAAATTGTTCAACCCACTAATGTTCGAGTCCATAGTACAAGTTCAAGTGGTTTTGTTTGATTCATTTCATTTTCAAATTGAATTCAAGTTTGAGTTCACTCGAATCCGAGTCTTGTCCAATTTTAATTAGATTTGAATTCATTTAAATTCATTTTTATAGGTCCCCTGCTCGTGTTCAATCAAGTTCAAAGGTCCACAAGTTATTGTTCATGCTCATTTGAGTCAAGGTTCTTGTTCTTTTTTAGTTCAAATCATTCCCGAGTACAGTCATATTTTCACCCGAAATTATGGCAGTCTCCTGATGTCTCCCCCGTTTAGGGAAAAACTATGGAAAACTGGGCCTCCCACCACGCTAGAGAAAAGTGTGTACAGTAGGTGCCCTCGTACAAGGACACCGCGGCCGTAAAATCTTTGTCCCCACCATGCCAGAGAAAGGCGTGTATGGGTCTTCAGTACCTATTACAAGAAAAGAGGAATTATTTCCCCGCGAGCAGGTACTTAGGAATATCCCGGTCTCGCTGTAGGCGCCGCACTGGATTCTCATCCCACCACGCTAAAGAAAAGCGTGTATAGGCGGTTTTCCCGGTGCGCCACAAATGCCGAGAACAGGGTTTTGGAGCCGAGGGGTCGCTCACCTACCTCGTCGTAGGTTTTGCGCTGGGTTCCCTTCCCACCGCGCTAGAGAAAAGCGTGTATAGGCGGTCCGCCGGCTCAACACGCACATCGAGGTAGGAGGGCATGAAAAATGAGGCAACATTTCTTTTGTATTTCTTTTCCTTTTCTTTTTCTTCCCTTTTTTTGACTTCTTTCTCCTTTGTTTTTCTTTTTTTACAAATCTTCCTCACGCACACACATGAATACACATATATAATATTAATAATAATAATAATACTAAGTGATTACTAATAACTAAGTAAAATAAATTAAGACCTATACCTAGAGATCAGCTGGAGCAAAAGGGGGCGGCTACTGGGTTCGGCCAAGGTTATGAGCTCTCTCTCTCTCTCTCTCTCTCTCTCTCTCTCTCTCTCTCTCTCTCTCTCTCTCTCTCTCTCTCTCTCTCTCTCAACGGAATCGGGTAGGAGGAGAGCTCAAGCCAGAAGTTAAGCGTCGAGATGGGAGTTCCGATCAATGGAGGCGCGGCCTTCGGCTTGGGTCGTGTGGGTGAAAGAGCTCGGTGGATTTAAGGGATTCGGCCGAAAAAGATAATGAAAGGGAGAAAGCTTGGACGGGTGAGGAGGAGGAGAAAACCTACTGGAAGTGTCGGATGAGGTTACGGGATGCTTGCGGGAAGCAGAGGAGATGGGGCTCGGCCGGCTTTGGCCTTGGCTTCATCGGTCAGAGGCGTCGAAGGCTACAGGAGGTGGAGGCCGACGGGATTAGGGGCAACGTCGAGGAAGAGGCATCAGTGAGATAAGTCCAGCTTGGAGAAGGAGTTTGCGGTTGCGGAAGGAATGAGCGAGAGCAAGAGGCCTTCGGACTCTTCTCTTTGGCTACTTAATGACGCGAATGCGTCGTGTAGGTGACGTGGGGAGAGTGTCGTGGATGTGTCCGCGACGTGCGACGTGCTTCAGAAGAGAGCAGGTAAGCGATTTTTTTTCTTTTTCTTTTTTTTTTTCGACCTTACTGGTCAACAGGTTCGATTGATGCTAAACCATCCCAATTTAAATGATTTTAATGTTTTATCAAGTTTGATCGATTAAAGTTCGGGTTGAAATTTTTGACCCGTTTAATAAACAAATAAGTTGACCGTATGGTCGGGTCATTTTCAAGTTGGACCTAAACACAGACCATGAACCCAAATTGACATCTCAAAGGATAAGAATAAGCTTACAGAGTTACTGCTAATATATCATGTCATTTTTAGTTATAAGATTCTAGCTGAAGGTTTTTTTTTTTTATAAGTTGCTGAAGGTTCATTTATGGTTATGTGAGTATACACCAAGATAAAATATAAAAATGTTCAATGCTAAAGGATTATCTATAGTTTGGTGAAGCCCAACAGATATTGATCGCTAGACTGATGCAGCAAATAATGAAAAATCTTCCAATTACCCGAGGTCATGCACAACATAAGATAACAGGAAAATACCAGAAGCAGCAGCCCCGCAGATCACCCCCCACACCAATGGAGGCCAAGTAACAGGTTTTGTAAGTTGAAGACGGATCTTCCATTTGTCCTAAAGCATTTGACCAACAAACAATAACATGGATATTGGTTCAATGTTCTCGTGCAATAAATAAATCAAGTTTCATAAACATGAAGAAAATTGGAATAAATAGTAGAAATCCTAAATCCATCACACATGAATTTTTACTTAAATAATTTATTTAAATGGTACTATCTTAGAGAACTCCTGCAAGTGACAAGTAGAGATTGGGACAATTTACAGTCTTCACAGGGTGTCCTTAATATCATTACAATCTCTAAAAGAGTGACAAATATTTCAATGTCGTTGTACTCATACAAGTGACAAGTAGAGATTGGGACAATTTACAGTAGTCTCAGGATGTCCTTAATATCACTACAATCTCTAAAAGAATGACAAATAGTTGAATGTCGTTGTACTCCCGTAACCAGTTTGGCCTAAAAGCATAAAGTGTACCTGTTATAGCTGCTGTATAACCTTTACATTTTGACGCTGAAATTAAACATCTTCCACCATGACAATGAAGAAAATTAAAGAGGATTGCGCATAAGCTACAAACCAAAACAGGGTAATTAAAGACGACATTAAAGAGGACCAAAAGCAAAGCAATCACAAGTATAGTCGGGAAATTTGCAAGGGCAAGTTGAACTATTGGCAATTTATATATGTTCTACAACAAACTATGATACATCATAATGTGAATAAAGAAATTCAATTCTTCAAATTTCATGTTCATTTACATGTACTTTTTACATGATAATATAAGATTTATCTTATTAAATATTCAGGAGGAAATAGCGTTTAGAAAAAAATAATTCTAATTACAATATATCAAAAAAAAGAAAAAAGAAAGACATGTATTTGAAAATTATCATTTACCTAATAAGGTAAAATAAAAATGCTATGAAGGCATGCAGAAACACTTCCAAGGAATGATGAACGCCTTACTGCCGAACAATATCACCATGCCCTCTCCTAGATACAACACAGTTTGACCTAATTCTAGCGGCTAGATGCGTATATGAAAGCATTTAATATGGAACTCTTCCTTTCCTGGATAAGCAAATCTAGGTTTAAAGAAAAACAAAATCTAAAAGTTGTGAGGTAGATCTAATAACAAAAATACAACTTTTGGAACAGAAAGGATACGAGACTTCATTTTATTTTATTTGTTTGGCATTGCACCAGTGCATCAGCCTAGATGATGAAATAAACATTGCTGATCAAGCAACTTATCTGAGACAAGGAGAGAAAGAAATGCACCCTTCAAAAGCTTGCCCTCAACAACACTCTTTAGCAATTTCTTTATCTTTTATTTTGGTTTTAAATTTAACGTTTGTCTTTGCACATTTTCTTGGCTAGCACAAACTATGACTCTATCTAAATATTACAAAAAAAGCAAGATGAATGTAGGGAGTCCGGTACAAATGAGAATTTCTCAACCAAAATATCATAATTGAGCAATAACAATGGTAGGACAGTTTATGGTGCTTAAAGGTCAAAGCTTATTTCTGAAAGTTTAAGGGAGGTTGTTAAATCTCGTTGAACTACACAAGGCACAACAAGAGAGAAATGAATTAGTATTTTCCTTACAAATTTTATTTTTCAAAAATCCTTTTTGAAAACTTAATTGCCAAATTTAAAACTTAAATTTGAAATTGAAATCTCACAATGCAGAAGCAAGTCCAATACAATTTTTTTATTTTGATTTTGTAGAAAACTCAAAGATGAAGTTATAAAGAATTTTTGTTTTCTACCGAATGAATCTAAACCAATCAGAACATTCACAGCACAAATTTGCAAGAGAGTAAATTGCAGAAAATAAAAGTGCACAAATAAAGAACGAACAAATCAGATTTTATAGTGGTTCAGTCAAATAATGACCTACGTCAATTCCCTGAAGCCCTTCTTTCCGGGTATTATACTAAACTCTTAGTGTCTCCTCTTTAGCCCCACAGCAAGGCGGAGAAGCCCTTACAACAGTCTCTTCTACCAACTCGGTGCGGCAGAGTATCATAATCCTTTCACCCTCCTAGTGAGGCAGAGAACCTCGAAATCCTTTTTACCCTCTTGGTGAAGGCAGAGAACCTATGAATCCTTTTTCACCCTTTTGGTGAACAAAGTGAACCCGAAGAGCTTCAACCTTGAAGCTTTTCTCCCCAGAGCAATCCCAAGTAATCAACAAAGCCATTAGAGGAATCAAGGTGCAAGTCTACTATGAGAAACGGAATGGAATCCTCTCACACTATTTCTTCCAATCTCACAACTTCACATTATCCTTCTTCAATGCTCTAAGACCTCACAAAGCTCTCTCTCAGAATCCCGTCAACAGCCAAAAGAAAAACCTTCTTCAAAGTTTAAAAAGAGTGTTTAAATATGAGGCCTTAAAAAAACCCTAAAATTCCAATTCTATCATTACATACCCCGTACAATATGATCTTGGATCGTATAGTACGATTAGGTTAAAACTCAATTCATCTAGTATGAAGAATAGAGTCTCAGTACGATCTGTTCAAAACTCTTTATGTTGATCGTACAATACAATGCTTAGATCGTACTTTACGATTAGTTCATTTTTCTCAGGTTTGTACAGGACAATTGCCGGGAAGAAAGAAAATCGTCTCTGCCCATCATCCAGTATGATGGGTATCGTATTGTACTATTAGTTCAATAAATCAAGGTTCATCTAGGACGATCCTTGGGACGGCCAATTTTCGACTCCGCCTATCATCTAGTACGATCCACATCATATTATATGATCTATTGTATTAAATAAACCTTGATTTGATTGATTAATCACAGGGATAAATATAGGTAATAATTTGAATATCGTATAGTACGAACGGGTTCGTACAATCAGGGGCCTCGGTAGCTTCCTCCACACTAGGGCTTAGTTCTACATACTGAGCAAAAACGACGATTGATGAGAATTTTAATAGACTTTAATAATTTATTTGGTTATACATATTAATCTAAGTATATTGCAGATAGATATACTGAGTAGATAACCCACTGCTATTGAGTTGCACAGTTACACCCATAAGCTTTAGGAGAACTAGTAGAGGGTAGATAAGTGAGCGAGGTGGGCCTATATAAATATATAAGGTTACAATACTTAGAGAAAAATAGTAAGAGATGATTATACGATGATTAATCTTTTGTTTTGTTTATACGATGACTATATACGGCCTCGAGAGAGCTATGTTGCAGCTGGCGAGGGATCTTCTAGGGGTTCCGTAGATATTTCTGACTTCCATATTTAGTCGCAGGCGGCAGGCAAAATGCAAAAGGGATGAATTTATGGATTAGGCTCACAGGCCTATGCGTATGAGAGACAGTGCTCTTCTATCTCCAGCTTCTCTGTAAACAGCAAGGATAGTTTGTATAGCCAATAGGTGGCTAACTTGACAGCAGACTAAAACATGTCCGAAAATCACAAGCGAACATGCACATGCAGATACTGAATGAGTTTCAGAGATTGGGATAGCTGATTAATGGAAATCAGCCTACACCTGCATCGGCCGAGCAGAAGAGTGAAAAACATATTTTACTTAGATTGTCTTCTTAGATTTTTTATGCATTTTAATTTTTTTATAAGAACTATATCGACACTTTAGCAGTGCTATATTAATTATAGAACAGTTCGAATGTGATTGTTTATTTTAGTAGTTGGAATGTGATTGTTGAACGGTTTGTTTCTTATGTTTATTTTAACAATATTTGTTGAAATATTAGCATTATTAACTACCACATTTAGCATTATTAACTATTACTTTTAAACTGCTTGAATTGTCATTGTTGAAAAGCCAAATAACTGTTATTAGGTGTTGTTTCTTTTTATTAATGCTCCATATTTTAGACGAATATGCAGCTGAATTTTCGCCCCAAACAACGAAACGACGAATATGTATCGTATATTGCGGCGGAAAATTCCGTTGCAAATTACGGTGGATTTACGGCAGAAAGTTGCGATGGAAATATCCATCGTAAGGCCACTGCAAATTGCGGCGGTATTTACGTCGCAAATCCGTCATAATTTGTGGCGGAATTAGCGACACCTGTCTAAAATGAACATATAATTTTTTTTTAATTTAACTCCATCGTAAATCCACCGTAAGTACGTCGCAAAATATTTGGGGCTGATTATTCCCAACGCAAATACTTTTATCGTCGGAATGTATTTCGCCGCAAATCCACTGCAAAGTTAAATTTGTGACGAATTTGGCTTATGTTACGACGGATTTTTCCGCCGGAAATAGCTTACTTTCCTATAGTGGGTCTTGTCTTATGAGAGATGTTAGGCTCTGCATATATAGGTGTATATTACTTTTTATGACAACAAAGCATTCAGCAGGTGTTTAGGTTAGTATATCAGAAATTTTCTTTTGTTCTTGTGAACGAATATGCTATTATTATTGTGAGTATATATCAATCAAGAAATCTTCTAAAAGGGAAATGCAATACAAAAATATTCTTACCGTCTCCTGTGCAGCCCCCTTTATGCCAAAAAGCTGGTTGAAGCTGGAACCACTAACAACTGTCGGTGCCTTAGCAGGAGCCTCAGGTTTAGCTGCATTATCGAATAAAACTAAATTCAATGCATCCAATACCGTCTACATCCTTCCAGGCCAAATAAAAAATAAAAAACTTTACGAAAATAAAGAAAATAAAACAAAGAATTAACTTGAGGCTTAATTAAAATGGGACAGAAATCGTAATTAGACCTTCATTAGCATCAGTTTCTGCCGCCTTAACCATCAATCTCCGCCCTGAAACCCATGAAATCGCCAATGTTTACGGGAATATCGAAACAAGTAGAGGCTAAGGATTCGATCGAAGCTTACTGTGTAAAGAGAGAGCTGGTGGAAAACGGAGCGCCGGCAACCGACGGCCGTGTGGCGACCGGGTCGAGACGGCAATTGAGGCAGAGGCGTAGATAACGGAAGCCATCACTGGTCGGGAAGAGGACAAACGGAAGAGAGTGACGAGTGAACTCCTGCGTCGAGCTGCAGGGAATTGGAGACCAGTGGTGGATAACCTGGTACTCCAGCGTCCCGCTGCTTTAGCTCTTTTCACCGTATTCCCGGAAACGATGATTTTAGAGCCGTTAATTACACTGGCGATGGAAATTAACGGTGTTGATGCGGCGGCTCTGGTTGGTTCCACTGAAAGCTGTGAGAACAGCTTCGTTCAAATGGATACGATCACCTACAGATGATAATCAACTCCAACTAGTTGTTAATAAATGATCCAACTCATCAATTTAATTTAAAATTTTTTGAATAGGTCAAGTTTAAATTACCTTGTAAATTTGATTTTGATCTGAAAACGATTCTTCTTTTTTTTTTTTTTTCCTCAAATTAGTTTACATGTTGTATGATTTTTTTAATCAATTAATCTATAAGCTCTATACTTATATAGTTATAAACCAAAAAATAAATAAATAATCAAAATAGGTTATCATATCATATTCAAATCATCAGGGTTACCAACGGGTATCGAATTCACCTAAAATTCTCAACTAGTTCTCAAACATAGTAATTATCACAATGTCAAATTGGCTTTGATATAGTGGAATATTCAAAATAGGTGAATATTGTTGCTACTATTAATTTCTCAAAGATGATTATTTTTAGCATGGCAAACTCTCCTATATAGTTTTGGCATAAGAAAGCCATCATACTATGTAAAAGTAGGATTAAAAAAAGTGTAATAGTGGTGAAGAGCGTTGATTCTATTGTTGGCCAAATCATTAGCTCGGGTCCATGAGGGACCACTTGGATGTGTGCAAATTAAGGTTTGAAAGATGTGAAAATATAGCATGAATAGTAGACAACTTGGTGAAGATAGAGTCTGGTACTCTATAGACCGTTTAATGCTACACTATTCCTATAAAGAAAGTCATCAGCTTTTATTAGAATAAGAGTATGAATAAAAACTATATTTTTTACACATATTGACTTAGGCATCGCAATGATGACTTTCCTTATAGGAATAGTGTAAAAATATAGTTTGTATTCATACTCTTATTGCTAATTTCTTTGGCACTTTCCTTATTGCTAATTTTAACTATAGGCCCATAATGATGACTTAGGCATCGCAATGATGACTTAGGCAAGTTGAAATTAGCAATAAGAAAATCAAGAGAATATTGGAAAAAAACTATCAGTTCTAATAAGAAAGATTGAGCAATTAAATTAGATGATGCATTATGGGCCTATAGAACTGTATTTAAAACTCTAATTGGTACGAATACTTACAAATTAGTTTTGAGAAAGCTTGTCATCTTCCTATGAAATTAGAGCATAAGGCATTCTAGGCAGTCAAAAATTGAATTTAAATTTTGGAAGTGCCAAAGAAAAAAAACTACTACAATTGAGTGAATTAGAAGAAATTAGAAATGAAGCTTATGGAATGCAAGAATTTACATAAAAATAGTTAAAAAATGGCATGGTAAAAAACTTCTTAAGAAAAAATTTACTCCTGGTCAAGATGTTTTACTTTTTAATTTTAGACATAAGTTAATCCTAGAAAAATTAAAATCCAGGTGGTCAAGGTCATTCATTGTCAAAAAAGTATTTTCCCTATGGGACTTTGGAAATATAAGAAAAGAAAAGCTTACATATCTTTAAAGTAAATGGCCACATATTGAAACCACATTAAGGATAAGATATTCATCAATTGCAAGAAATAATTGAATTGGTTCATTCTAAAAATTAATGATTGGTATAGTCTGGCTGAAGACTTAAAATTTAATGTTTTTGAGTGACAACCCATGTACGTGTTATGCTAGTACCCATTATGTAATGAATGTTATGTCAAGTTTTTTGTTCAACATATATTTTATGCAGCTTTTATCATTATTATGAAAGCATGTATTTGTAGTATTTATTTATGTGTTTTATTTATATATTAGCATATTCCCTCCTGAAAAGTCTGTATAGGTTGTTAGACATAACACAATTGTCCCAAGGCTAACCAAGAGGGGGGAGTAAATTGGTAATTTTAAAAATTCCTCTTGAATAAAAACCCATTTTTCCTTTTTAAAAATACTTTGCACTATTTAAGTTTTAATAAAATTAAAACATTTCAACCACTTAAAGAAAAATGTGTAGAAAAAAAATTATGGAAAATGTAAAGAACACAAAAATTTATAGTGGTTTGGTCCAACTAAACCTACATCCACTCCATGATGACTCCCTTTTCAGGTATTGCACTATTACCAAAATGACTCTCCTTTCCCTCCCATAGCAAGGTGGAGAAGCCTTTAGAATTACCCTCTCTTCCACCAATCCTCAGTGCAGCAGAGTATCATCATCCTTTTACACCCTCCAAGTGTCGGCAGAATACCGTTATCTTTTCACACCCTCCAAGTATCGGCAGAGTACAGTCATCCTTTTATACTCTCTAAGTGTTAGCAGAGAACTGTCATCCTTTTACACTCTCCAAGTGTCAGCAGAGAACCGTCATCCTTTTACATTCTCCAAGTGTCAGCAGAGAACCGGATCTTCTCCAAAGATCTTCCCTCGAGCATATTCAAAGAATGAAGAGATTTGCTATAAACATAAAGAGATTCTCACCTTTGAGTAACCTTATGAACCCTCCACACTCTTAATCTGCAAGAAATTTCTCTCAAACACTCTCCCAAATCACTCTCACACTTTTGCTCTCTAAAAAAATGAAGAAGGATTCGTCCAAAATAGTTTCTAAGGACATTATATAGGAAAGGAAGGAAGAACTGTCCAAAAAATTGAAAATTTCAATGTTGACCATCCATGATCGTACATTACAATCGACGATTGTACATATGAATCGTTCAAAGTTTTATCATATGATCTCGTATGAAATATTTTTGTACATGCACATCATACAATACGAATCATATATCATCCCGTATGATTAGTTATACCTTTTTTATTATTTATATGGATGAAAATGTTTGCATCAATTTCGTACTTTGGACATCATTTGAACGAACTCAAGATCGTCCCGGACAAACAGTTCAAAAACTTTTCTTGTTCATATGGACGAAAATGACTCATCAATTTTATACTTTAGACATCATTTGTACGAAGACAGCTCGTATAGTACAAATAGTACTTAGAAAATTTTCTTTATATGGTTCGATTAACTATTTACTAAAGGAACTACCTGAACAAATCATCATATACAATCCAAAATTGTATAGTATAATTAGTTTAAAAAATTACAAGTTTTAACAATCCCCTTGTATGTGTCTGCACAGTTACCCAATTACAATCACACTCTCTCAGACTCAAAAAAAAAACATAAAAAGTACAGACTCTAATTATATTAAATCCTAATCTAATCTGTCTTGAAGCCTTCAATAGTCTGGAGTATGATTTCTCTAAAATGTTAGAACACACAAATAACAAAAGTAATATATCCAATATAGGTTAGAAGAAATAATAATCAAACAATAATATTTGGAATCATAAAAAGCGCGCATAATATGAAAACATAGTTATTAAAAACTAAGTTACAACAACTCCAATTACTTTTATATTATAATTATTTATTTAAATCTTAAATGATAATTAAAAATTATGAAAATGTTGGATAATGATAAACCTTAGATCCTAATTTGAATAAACTTTGTTTATACTTCATAGGTTGAAAAAACTTATACTTAATGCATTCAACCATTTGAGATATTATCCTAATTTGATTTATAACCTAAACCTTTATGAAATTAACTTTTAAAATTGTAAGATGAATAATTAGTATTAAAAATTAAATATGAGTGGATTAAAATTAGAAATTATAGCTAACCCGAAGATAGAATTAGTAATCTCATAAAGTCCTTACATTAAAATCTTTAATATTGTATAAAGGTCTAAAGTAAAAGCTTATATTCAAAATTATTAATTTTGTACTCGACAAAAGAAAAAGAAAAGAAACTATATAATAGTTCTCAAAGAAAAGAAAAAGAAAAAGAAAAGAATCAAAACAAAAAGATGAGTACATTAAAAAATTAGTATTAGTAAAAGCTTACAATTGGAAATACAATCTTATACATAAGCAAAAAAAGATAAGATAGGAGAGCTAATACAAGAGATGATTAACTAGCAAAAGTTTAATTTTAACTACCTTTATATCTAATCATTAAAACTCAATTATTCTTTACAACAATTAAAAGATAATGATTAAATCTATAACTTATAATTTCAATTTGGGTTGTAACTAAAATGATTGATTTGCTTAATTATTAGTAGTTTCTTAAACTAGAAGTATAGCCTTGTTCATTTTCACTTATTCTAGATAGTATTGTATTATCTTATATTTTAGTAATTAGATTATCACTTTTTATTTTGGTTAATAACTTAATCAAAATTTCAAATTTTTATTTGCATGAGGATAAGTAAGAGTTTAAGCTGGAGAGGATTTGAAGAGTGTAAATAAGGATATATTTTATATATTAAATTGCCAGTAAAACCGTGTTGTCTTTATTATGTTATGCAAGAAAAATATTGGAAAGGCATGAAATTTTGAGTATCATATTATACTGCGGTGTCGCACGCTATACCTCCGTGGTGCCTTTATTAGCACCACTAGAGTGCCCAAAATGGGCATGGCAATGCCTACTCACTGTTTAACAGTGTCGCAATGGTGGAGTCAGTACTGTAAATCCCAGTTTGTCTGCACAGCACCATGGTGCAAATTTCTAGAATCTCCAAGCTAAGGGGAGTGCCACGTGGACATCATAGTGCTAAATCGTTATTAGTATCGCAACATATAAGTTATAACCGACCAGGACAAAATCTGCCAGTAAAGCGAGGCGTTGATTCAATCTAGAGTGGCCTTTTGATAAGGTAAATCCTAAGAAAGTAGCAAGTTTTTATGAGTTTGATGCTTTGTCAATTTTTATAGCTCAAGTAGCATCCATATCTAAGAAGTTGTACAATTTCAAAGTTAGTTCAAGTTTAGGATTACCTATCCATTTGGATGAGCATGATTTGAATTCTATTTGTGAGAATAGTGCTTAAGGGATTGAAAATATGAATTGAAAGGCAAAATAATATCTATTCTAATACATATAATCCAGGTTGTATGAATAACCCTAAATTTATTTAGAATAATAATAATGGTGGAAATAATTAGTGGAATGTAGGTCAATTTAATTTTGGAGAAAATGTCGGTAATCCTGAACAACCTTTAGTAA